GCCGTGGGAAGCAGAGGAGGCCGAGTGGGGGTGAGGAAGGGTGGGGGGTGGGAAAGCATATATTGCTGTTTACTGGTTGTTTTCTCTCCTGCTGGAAGCTCCGTGAAGCTGCTTTCTCGTACCCCCTATTTGCTGGTCTCTGATAGGAGTCCAAGATGGCAGATCCGTGCTGCATTAGCTGATAGGGAACCTCTCCATGTATGTCTCCTTGCTCTCTGTTCTCTGTCAGTTTCTTACACCATTTGGTGCTTGGCTGAGTTCTTTATCTCCTCATTTGATGTTTAGGATTTCAGGACTGCTGTTTTCTCTGTTTGGCTTAGTTTTTCGGATCTGTGCTGTGGAGGGATGGCGTGTTGCTTCTGCCTAGAGCGCCATGTTGCCAGAAGTCCTCCTCAAAAGAAACTTTTGATGTTGTTTAGCTCTAGGGATTTTTTTTTTTTTTTTGTTAAGGTCATGCTGAACCTAATAAACGCCCTTACTGTTTTAAAAAGGTAGGAAAGACTTTTCTGAGAAGATAATACATAAGCTCAAATTTAAAAGTTGAGAAGATGCCAGCCATGCAAATATATGCAAAAAGAAAGTTCTCAGGAAGAAAACAACCTATGCAAACTGGGGTATTCAAGGAATAGGCCGATGGAGTCAGGGTAGTTAGTGTTTTCCGAAGCTTTTGACTGCAACCCAGAGCAAGAAGCATGTTTTACACTGCAAACCACTACACATGCAAACAGGCCTGAAATAAAAGTTTAAAGTCAATACTTAGCCTTCATACCAGTGTACCACCACAATATGGCTGTTAAAAAGTTCCATCACCCCAAAGAATTCCCTCATGCCCCTTGTAATCAACCCTAACCCTCTACCACCCAACCATTGATTTGATTGCTATTTCTATTCCTATAGCTACATTGCCTTTTCCAGAATGTCATATAAATGGAATCACAGCCTTCTGAGTATGGCTTATTTCACTTAGTATAATGCATTTGAAATTCATTTGTGTTGTTGCATGAATCTGCAGTTTATTTCCATTGTATGGATGTATGACAGGTTGTTCATCCATTCACCAACTGAAGAACATTTAGGTTGTTTCTAGTTTGGTGGGACTATTAATAAGGTTGCTATGAAAAATCTCATACAGGTTTCTGTGTTTTCATTTCACCTGGGTTGCTGAGTTGTGTTCTAAGTGTATGTTTGACTTCATAAGAAATTGCCAAACTGTGTTCCAAGTGGTTGTACCACTTTGCCATCTCACCAGCCATGTATGAGTTTCAATCTTCAGCTGCTCTGTATCCTTGCCAATACCTGGTATGATCGATTAAAAATTTTTTTAAAAAACTTTCAGCTACGTAATAGGTGCTTAGGGGTATTGCACTGTAGTTTTAATTTGCATTTCTGTAATTATTAATAATATTGGGCATCTTTTCGTATACTCATTTGCCATCCATGTATCTTCTTTGCTGAAATGTCTATACAAATCTTTTGCCCAATTTTTAATTGTTTCCTTACTGACTTTTAAGAGTTCTTTATAAATTCTAGATACAAATCCATTATCAGATGTGTGTTTTGCAAACATTTTCTCCCAGTCTGTGGCTCATCTTTTCATTCTCTTAACAGTGTCTTTTGCAGAACAGAAGTTTTTAGTTTTGAAAAGTTCAATTTGTTAACTTTTTTCTTTAATGGATCATGCTCTTACGGTTGTGTGGGGTTTACATTTAACTTTTTGAGGGGTGCATTAAAGTAGAACATGTCAACGTCGATGATAAGAACACACCTGCAGGACTGGAAGGTAAGTGGAGCCAGCAGGTAGATATCCTGGTATTCTCCCTTGAAGTAGACAACTGGATCCATGATAAGAAGGGAAATGGCGAAGGTGCAGCAATGCAGAGAAACTGAATCTAGACATATTCCTCTTGTACCCTGAGGCACAAAATGCCCATAAGAACTATTCTGTCAACATAAGAGACAGAGACTGCAGGTGGCTATAGGGCAGATTCCCCTGGGGGAAGGCTCTGCACATAGCTACCAAGTCCGACTGATGCCAGTAGTCCTGGGAGGCTACAAACAGATCCTGATGAGAATAGAAAATTACTTTAAACTAGACTTTGCTTACCCAGTGGTAGATGCAAATGCTCCAAGCACTATAAAAGAATCAGGACAGAAGATACTGCAGCAATTTGGACTGCCGAGTTGTATTTCTTTACACCAAGGAACATACTTTTATCCTCAGAGTAATGGTTTGATAGAGAATTGGAACGGGCAATTGAAACATTGCTTGTTTAAAACGGGAGTAGGGGGAGAGATACAGGCATGAAGGGCTGGCTTACAGGTCTTCATGAGTATGTGAGGGGGGTCCATGAGGGGGACCAAGGGAGGATCCCCACTGGATTCCTCTGCTTTAACTGGTGGATCTGGGGAGTAGACAGTGAGGGAGGATGCTGGTTTGCTTATACATTTCTTCCCCATTTAACACTTCAACTTTTTTTTTTCTTTTCCCCCACATGACCTCAACTTTCTTTTTCCCTATCTGATGCAGTGGTCCCAGAACCAGGGGTGCAACTGTGAGTAATGGAGGCAAGGGTGATTCCTAAGCAAGAAACTATGAATGTGAGCACCATCCTTTTTCACACAGAATTGCTGAACATCTGTACTGAAAATCAATTGAATATATATGTGTGGGTCTATCTCTGGACTCTCTATTCTGTTCCATTGATCTATGTACCTATTCCTTCACCAATACCACACTGTCTTGATTATATGCTTTATAGTAAGTCTTGAATTCAGGTAGTATGAATCCTCCAACTTCATCCAAAATTGTTTTGGCTATTCTAGTTCTTTCGCCTTTCCATATAAATCTTACAATCAGTTTGTCAATTTCTACAAAAGTCCTGCAGGGATTTTGATTGGGATTGTGCTGAATTTATAGATTAATTTGGGGAGAACATCTTAATACCGAGTCTTCCAATCCATGAACAGTGTATATCCCTCCATTTATTAAGGTTTTTTAAAATTTCTTTTATTAGTTTTAAGCTGTCTTATTATTCAAATCTTGTACATACGTTGTTAGACTTTTATCTAAGTATGTCATGTGTTTTGGGGCTATTATAAATAGTACTTATAAAAAATTCCATTTCTAATGATCCAAGGCCAGTAAATAAACAGACAACTGATTTCTGTATGCTGATCTTATATCCTGCAACCCTGCTGAAGACCTCAGAGTCTGGGATTTCCTACATAGACAATCATGATGCAAATGAACAGAGACAATTTTATTTCTTCCTTTCTAATATGAATGCCTTTTTTTCCTTTCTCTTGCCTTATTGCACGGCTAGGACCTCTAGTACAATGTTGAATAGGAGTGGTAAGAGTGGACATCCCTGCCTTGCTCCTGCCTTTGAGAGAAAAAACATTCTTTTACTATTAAGTATAATGTTATCTATGAGAATTTTGTAGATGCCTTTTATCAGGCTGAGGTAGTCTGTTCCCCTCTATTCCTAGTTCATTGAGATATTTTATCATGAAAAGATGATGAATTCTGTCAAATGATTTATTTGCATCTATTAAGATGATCATATTTTCTTTTCTTTATAGTCTCTTAATATTGTAAATTACACTGATTAATTTTTGAATGTTAAATCAATCTTGCATTCATGGCATAAATCCTACTTGCTCATGATGTATTGTTTTTTTTATATATGACTGAATTTGATTTAGGGAGTCCCTGCGTGGTACAAATGTTAACCAGTGAAATATTGAAAGGTTGAAGATTTGAGACCAACCATAAGTGCCTCAGAGGAAAAGGTCTGGTGATCTACTTGCAAAAACTCAGCCAGTGAAAATCCTACGGAGCACAGGGTTCTACTCTGACACACATGGGGTCACCATAAGTTGGGGTCAACTTAATAGCAACTGGTAACCAATGGATTTGATTTCTAGTATTTTGTTGAGGATTTCTGGCTCTCTGTTCATCAAGGATATTGTCTGTAATTTTCTTGTAATGTCTTTGCCTGGTTTTGGCATCAGGTTGATACTATCTTCAAAAACGAGTTGGGAGGTGTTCCCTCCCCTTGTATTTTCTTGAAGAGTTTGCATAGAATTGCTATTATTTATTCCTTATATATTTGGTAGAATTCCCCAGTGAAGCCATCTG